ACTACTAAATTCCTGTATGATGTAGGATTAATCGCAGCCTCCCTGGGCCAGCTTTTGCCATCTGTAAAACAGAGGTGGTGCCGTCACCATCACCAGCCTGGTCTGGGAAGAGCGAGGATGAATGTGTCTGCAGCGGAGCCGGGCCGGGCCGCTGCTCCGCTCCAGCACCCGCGCTGTCCTCACCCCCGGGAAGCGCTTCCAAAGCCAAAGCCCACCAGCCGCCTCTTCTGTTCTTCTGGCTTCTTAAAACTTGCATCCCTGCTTCACATTATATCATTAAGGTAGCAGAACACACATTTGAGCTATTCGTAACAATTGCAAGAGCGGATAAAGAAAAAGAGCTACCAACTATCAGGAGAACAAAAAGCGAAGCCATTAAACACTGCAAAGCTCTGGGAGGGAGCTGCATCCTCAGCTCCGGCCTCGCCTGCGCTTGCTCCCTGCAATATTGTTGCCCATTTCTGCAAGTTCTCTGAATTCATCCTGCCCTCTGCGTGCCAGGCTACAACAGAGCCTCTGAGCTCTGGAAAACCTCAGAGCTGCAAACCAGTTCGATTCCAACCCAGCACCAGATCACACTGACTTTTAGCGACTCGTAATTGTCCAGCAGAAACAGAAGGAGAGCTGCAGAACAGCAAATGCACCAAAAATGCTCCTATAAGGTTATTATTTCTGACAAACTACAGCTATAGGAAAGAGTCTGTCACAAAAGCTTCCCCATCCAAGGCAACCATACTAAAATCTGACCAGAGTAAGCAGACTTCAGAGGTAGTAGCCCAGGAACAGCGGAGCTATCTGAGAAAAACTTACACTAACACACCCATTAAAGTTCTGTTTTGCTAACGCTTTATAACAGGTTTCAATACCTGTTTAGTAGCACAGGCTTCAGCTCACAGCTGTGGGGCAGCTGCCAGAAAGGTAGCCAGCTGGAGAGGGCATCAAACCCCGTGGATACAGCCAGTGTCCTGATTCCCAGCCCCTTCTCCGGAGCGCTGGGACATCCCGGAGCTCATCTGCCCAGAGAGCAGCAGGCTGGAACCTGCAGAGCCCCCCAAGGGCTTCACTCAGCGCCGAGAACGGGCTCTTCCCCGCGTGGATGTGTCCTGCTCCGAGCACAGCCCCGAACGCAGGCACAGAACCATTCCACCCAAGCTGCACCACAAGGAGCTCAAGTACAGGAGGAAACTTCATCTGCGATGGCTCCAAGAGCAACCCCCATCCTGGGGATTTGACGGCCAGGGTGAGCAGTATCTAGTGATTTCAATATATTAAGATTGTTACTACTGCTTCTTCCATGAAAAACTAAAGCAGTATGAGAGGTGTGGTGGGGTTTTGTTTTTTTTTGCGTTTTTCCTCCCTCCAAAAAAGTGACCCATTGCAGCAGTTCCATTGAGCTCGTCCAAACTGTGTTCCAACAGAGCTAAGGAACTGCAGCTCCCGCAGCCCCTTCATCTCCACGATGTCCCCACCCGCCCGTGCTGCTCTGCAAGACAGAGACCATCAGGGAGGGCAGAGCAAGGCCGCGCTGGACTCTCAAACACAGATAACCCCAGAACAGGCTCACGGTGACGATGCCATGGCCAGGGCTCACGCACGGACTAGTTGAAGATGAGCTGGCGCAGATAGTGCTGTGGGGTGGCCATGGCAGGACAGAGCGCAGGGCAGCCCCATGAGCAACCATGACACGCAGGCGAGACTGAAAGCCGCCTTTCATTCCCCCATTGCATAGGGGAAAAGTGAAAGCTGAAGCTGAACTTTGATACCTGTCCAAATAAGGATCTTCTACAAGGGGGATTTCTAAACAGATTCAGGGAAGAGGCATCTCTGACAAAGCAGGGAGCTGCCTTTCCCAACCAACGACCTGGGGATCCCCCTGCCAGCACTGGGTGGGCAGCAGGAGGGGCTGCTACTGCCAGGCCCCAGGGGGCTCATGAGGGGGTTTGCCCTTGAAGGCCGTGTCATTCTCTTGACCAATTTATCCAGGATTTTATTAATCCTGAGGGATAAGGGAATTCCTCTTCAGTTGTTCTGCAAAAGCTCTTTCCCATGTAACGATCACTAGGTCCTTTGGGAAGCTCCCAGGGAAGCCGCCCCAACCCCAGGCTCCTCTCGCGCTCGTCGCTGGCCCCGCAGTGTGCCAGGCCGCTGGTCACTCACCTCCTCCTCACGGCCACTGCCCCTGAGCTCGGGCCCTTCTTTCTTCCTCAAATCCCTCAGAGAAATGCCAAGATGAAATATGGCTTTGGGTTCTGGTTTGGGAAACGGACCCATCTCCATTGCTCCTTCCCCCTGTCCCATTTGAACCTCATTTGTTCATCACATCATAAATATCCATCTGTAGAGCTTTGAGTAAGGAGATTTACATCCATGCGCTCTCGGGAGATTTAAAGCCTCCCAAATGTCCATTTGGTCTTATGTATTCCCCGGGGCCAAGAGCCGTGCCAGAGCACTGCCAGCAGACTGGCAGACACCATTTTGTGAAACCGCTTTCAGAGGAAGAAGTCTGCAAAACATCTCAAGACTTGAGAAACCACAGCAGTTCCTGTTTCCTACAGTTCAAGAGGTCACCACAAGTTTTATTTACACATAGATATGCATGCGTGTGTATATACATATACCTGTATATTTGTAAGGCCACTATTGAAAATCTCGCCAGCCTTGCAGAATAAGAGAAAAGCTAAGATGCCCTCTGAGGAGGATAAAAAGAAAGAGGAAGGAAAAAAATTGTCACTTATTCCTCCCTTACAATATAAAGTTGGAATGGCCCTCTTTAGACTTTCCTTTTGGTCCTAAGTGATTTCAAGGGTCATGTTTAACTTGTCCCTGTTCTATTAAGAAAATAGAAAAAAAAAAACCCTCACACTTTCTTGAGGATAACAGATTTCTATCTTAATGATAGTGTAAGAACACATAGCTTCAGCAAAAACACTTTATTTTAGATAGTCTGAACCTTCAGTTTAACTGGTATTACCCAAAAGAGACCTTTTTTTCCATCTTTTTGTATGCACATGGCCTGTATTAAAACTCCGGCTTTTCTGCAGAACTGCTGTATAAGTCACACACTGACTATGCTGGACTTGTGCAATGATTTTTCCTCTTTAAGCACAGAGTATTGCACTTTTGCTTCTTTCCCCAGAAAGTGTTCTCATGCCAAGTGTGAACAAATCACATCAAATATTTTTTTTAAACCATGTTTGATTTTGTCCCTACCCATTTATCCTGTTCCTTTATTACAGCACCCTTCTTGAATTCCTTATTTTCTATATACGCTTTATGTTCTTTAGCACATTTGTTTAATACTTCCTTCCTTAACATTTGGATACTTAATGGGCTTAATATGAACTTCTGCAAGGAACTGGCAGCCAAAATTGCAAAATCTCACCCCAGATCATACTTACCAACCAATTTTAATCGGGGCTTTCCTTCTGCAGAACCATGGCTTGGATTTTTGTTCCTCTGTCTTAAGGATCATTAGCTTCAATATTCCATGCTTTCATCCAAGCCGCTTGTTGCATATTCCAGTTGCCCAGAACTGGATCTGCAGCATCTTGGTCTTGCTGCTTTCTCTGCTTTCTGCAGCAGAAGATCAGTGAAGTCTCCAGCTCTCCTGCTCACAGGCCGCAGGTGCCCTGCTGCTCTTCTCTTCCTCAGGTACCTGGTAGGTTGCATCTCCTGTGACAATAAAGTCCTGTCGTTTGGTAGATTTTTCCACTTGTTAACAGCCCCCACTGGTTGCTCATCTCCTGCACTGCAGTTTTGCCAAAGCGCTCGCTCTTTTCCCACCTTATCTAGTCCTTCTGCAGGGTTTCACATTCTCAACCCTGAAATGGATGCACTTGACCTAACACGCGCACATGAAGAGACAATATTCATTTTTTTCAACTCAATCTGTGCTTTGCCAAAAAGCTATTTCCCTTGAATGCAAGTTCTAGGCATGCAAGCTATTCCATCAGCCCTGCCAGGTCCATAGTACCATTCCCTGTGTTTCTTGCACTACTAAGCAATTGAGAATAGTCTGTGTGTCGCAGCCTGAAAACCTCATTAGGTTTTTACACCAACTTGCTAAAACTCTTCCCTTTGTGAGAAGTAGATCCCAGTCATATCTATAGGAGAATGTTTTCAAAGAGAAAAACAAAAAAAAACAAAACAAACCCACACACCCCTCAAGGACACACTTGTTGAGGGCAAACAGTTGTCTACAAAATCACCGAGTGCTTGAACAGTCATATTAAGCAGTGATATGATACAACAGGAAGCAAGTTATGGGCCTTTATTTGAAGGCTTTTAACAATTACAGCAAGAATTGTCATTGCAAACCAGGATTTTTTAAAAAGACTGAATAATAAAAGTTAAAAAAACATCCACAAGCCCACCTGTAAGAAAGACATGTCGGTCCAGAAAGGAGAGGTGGGCGGATGGTTCTCCCATTCTGTTCACTTTTCAAATACCTGATAAAACTAAGAGCCTCAGAAAGGTTGGATGCTATCTGAATTGTTCCAGCAGGTGAGCACTCAATATTTAACAGCATATACTGTACCAGTGTGCCAGAGTAGCTAGGTAAGTCTATGGGTTTCAGCAGGGCTTGCTGTGGTTGCTTGCTTTCAAAAAAAGGGCATTAGAAAAGATTATGCCAAGGTATCTATAATGCAGCCAGGTAAGTCTGTCCGTTCTGGTGTGCTGGTGGTACAGAAGGCATGTAAGGAACTGCACATCTTAGCAGTATTTGACTTACAAGACTGCAGCTTCAATTTAGTTCTACAATGCACATCCAACAGCTCCACACATTCAGTCTCACATGGTCGGGGGCACCCGCACTATTTCTGACTCATCCTTCTCTCAGCATTAACACACCTTTGCTTGCTTCTAGTAGCAGAGAACAAAAATGGACCCAGCTCATTGTTTGGGTACATCACGGTTCCACCAATGCAATCTTGAGGGTGGGAGGACTTGCAGCAACCAAGTTCCAATGAGCAACAGACCCGCTGAGAACACCGAAGTACCCAGGAGGTCATCTCAAGTCACACATCGTTGCCATCTTTTGCTTTCAGCTGGTGCAAGAATGGAGTTGAAAATAGTATGCTTTTGATCTCAGAGCAAACAAGTAATGAGAAAGAAGATTTTATGTGCATCAAAACCCGATCTATGACCGCGCTCCTGCCGTGCAAGCCCAGCGCTGCCGTAGAGCAGAGCGTCCGCACCGCGCAGCTCGGCTGGGAACGCCGCGGCTCCCGGGCACACACCTCACCACGCACTGCTCAACCTGGGCACTGTGCACAGCTGTGAAAATAACGTTTAAGCTCATCTACAAAATAGGCTCCAACTGAGACAAAACTACTAAGTTAAAGTCAATTTGCTCGGACAGACTGGTGACAGATGTCACCGTTTCAGCCATTTGACCACCTGAAGTCACGCAACAGTTTTCCTGTTATCCAACCCCACTCTTACACCTTCAGAAGGAGGCAGCCAACAACACAGTCACATTTCATCTGCTTGGCAAAGAAGAGCAAGGACCTTCTCCCCAGCCTAAGCCAAGGGAAGCTGCAACGTTACTGCTACTCCAGTTAGCAAGGAACATAACTAGAACTGGAGAAGGAAAGCCAATATTCCAGGTCCTACAAGCTTCGGCATGAACCCCTCGTGATTTGCCTGATCATATCTGAAAGCACAAGAGACTCCAGTAGACGTGACACTCTTGAAATGCAGAACTTTATTTAGAAACTGTTTAAAATAGAAAAACCCTGTCAAGAAAAATCCAAGTCAAATACGGTTTCCTCAGTAAAATGGAGTTTCAGGGCAACAAAAGTCTAAAAGGCCACAAGAGAAATAGCACCACTGCAATTTTAAACAATGGCTAGATACTTGCATTTTTTGGCATTCACTGAATTTGGGTTTTTCTCTGAATTTCACAAAGATTCATGCACTACACAACAATTACCATAAAATGCTCTCCTACACACATTTTAGGACAAGCTACCACCAGAAACAAATGAATACAAGCACAACAGGACCGATCAATCTCAGTAGTGAAGGGGGATCAGGAGTCTTGCAGGATCTTGCCAAACACAAAGTAATGAGGGGCATGATAGCAAGGAGGGAAAAAAAAAAGACAGTTAAAGAAGGTACTTTAAATATTAATATTTAAGTTAGTCTCAGTACTGTATTTTCTGCAATAACATTAGCTCTGTTAGCCAGCACCTTTTTAGTTTTGACCCCAGAAGATTACTGAACTGGCAAGTATTATTAGATACACCCTGGTTTAAAACAAAAGGAAAAAAAGGCAAACTTCATCCTCATGTGCTCGATTCGCTTTCATTCTAAGATAGGTGCACAGTGCAAATCCCATTACAGCCATCTGATTTGACCAGCACTCCTTGGAATGGGGAAGAGAAAAGAACCAGTGAGACCCCAGCAGGTATTACCAACCAAAATAAACAGGAATAGGGCAAGGAGCAACAAGAGCCAGAAAGAAAAAAATATTTTGGGGCAATAAGACTAGATGGTTTTTTTTTTTTTTTTTTTTTTTTTTTTTTTTACAGAAAACACAGTACATTTTGGCAAAGTCATTAGCCACGATGCCGCAGAAAAAGGCTTTAGCGCTCTTCAAGGTAATTTATGTGTCTCAGCTGTTCATACTCCCTCTAATCTTGTGACAGGCAACAGTAAGGCCTATTTCATCGAGAACTAATCACTTAGTAAGCAGCTTTACATAGGAATGGAGTTTTGATTTAATAGCCCCTTTTGAGCACTTGCTGACAGAGTAGGACTGCCACGCAAGGCCTCTCAAACAGCAGTGTATGGAGTCAAACAAGTGTCTACCCCAGGATGAAGCACATAAAATCTCCTGTCACATTACTTCAATTTGGCATACGGAAGCATATTTTAAATACTCTTAAGGCATTTAATTATAATTTCTCTGCTGCAATTTCACATTAACTCAATCTTCTGTGAGTCAGAGCCTTTAATTTCTCAACTACACACCATCTTAGATGCAAAAAGAGTCTTTCCACAAACCAGTGTTTTACCAGCAAACCATTCTGCAACAAATTCCAAATATTCAGCCTCTTGCTCCCTAAATACACCAACTATGGGAATACTGCTCTGCTACAAAGTGAGAAAGAGCTCCTAACTCACACCCACTGTAAAGAGTGAAATTTCTGCAAAGTGCACTTTAAGAAGAGGTACTTTTTGCTTATGAAAAGAAACCAGTGAGTCCTCTAAGAATAAAGTGGAGTATTTTACAGTTAAGCACATGATCTGGGGCAAAGAATTCTGATGTTGCTGCTCTGCTGGTACAGTACGTGGTCTGTTAATACTCTTCTTGCTCCTCTTGAGGTGCTCCTTCGTCAGGTATCACAAAGCCTTCCTGAAGGGGGGATAAAACAAGGGCTTTAATGAAGAGCTTATCTCAAACCAGTTCCTGGCTCCTTCCAAAGTGTATGCACCCCTCCTTTTATTTCTCACTTAGGGTGGTGGAGAGGAAACACCATCAAATTATCATTTACAGTGTTAGTACATACTACCAGACAAATGATTTCCTCATCTTTGATCCATGTGTTACATATTCCTTGTGTAAGCCTAAGCTTGTTTGCTACCTGAGTAGAATTGTTATCTTATGTTCCTTTACTACAGAAAAAAGCTAGGCCACAAACCTAAAGAAAAAATAAATGTAGAAATAGAGGAAGCACTAGAAAACAGCCCAACTTCCGATTATGGAAAGAAAGAAAGAAAAAAGCAACGAATTTATACTAGACTACTTACATCTGTGGCATAAAGAATTTCCACAATCCGCTGCAACACTGGGTCATTCTCCCCTTCATTCTCCTGGCAGATCAATTCAATGTTTCTCAGTTTGCCAAAGTAGAAGTCTCTCTCCTTCTCCAAGTCTTCAACATTGATTTTCAATAAATTGATCTGCCCAAAAGATATCAACCGTAATTTCTCCACCAAGAAGAATATAAGGTAGTGGTTTATTCAAATAGCGAGACCCCCCAGAAATTATCAGGAGGGTATTGGAATGCAAAGCACTTCAGAAATAAGCAAAATGGGGGTGGGGGAGAAGGGGGTACCATTCCACACACTGTGTTAATTCCACACAAAACATCCAGCCCGGAGCAGGCAATATCCTTTGGAAAGTCGCACGGCTCATTGCACGACACAGGTAGGACGCCGACTGCTCGCAGCTTTCCCCGCCACCGCGTTCCTTCGCGGCTGCGCCGCAGCGGGACCCGCAGCCCGGCTGCGAAACACCCGGGCACGCCGCTCCGCGGGCACCGGGCACAACGGGAGCTGGCGCTGCACGAGCGCATCCCGCCCGCGAGCGGCCGGACCCCGGAACGCGGCGTGGGATTGAGCGTCTCCAGGGGAGCTCGCTGCGCCGCCGGCTCTCGCGACCCCTGTGCTGCTCGCTCGGCTCTGAAGGTAACGAGACCCCCCGAAATCCGCGGTGCTTCGATGAGCGCGGAGGGGCTCCTCAGCCAACGCACCTGCTCAATGAGTCCTGCCGATTCGTCGTCCCCGGGAGCCTTTTTCACCATTCCGGTACCGCCTTTCGGAGTCCCTGCAGTTCTCTGCGTTACAATGGGCCTCTGTGGAGCTGTAAGATTAAACCAGCCTTAGCTCCCCTCGGCATCTTATTTTCCTCTTCTGGTGGTACCACCGCTTCCAGACAAGCTTAGACACATAGGACCTTATCTTTAAACTCCCCTACAGGAAATACTCCTTCTCCTTGACTCCACACAACATGGCCATGTTCCTCAACATGCATTGGCACCAATTATTGCCATTTTTTTCCATTTAGAAAATTGTCCTTTCTGTAACTCCGAGACAACTGAGTACTACTGTTTGACTCAATGATTAAGACCAGCAGCTCTGAAAAAAGCTGCAAAATATTAGAATTTAACACACTGAATTTAAACAGGTCTTGTTTTCCAGATATTAAAAAAAAAATAGCAGTAACCTTTAAATATTTACTCTACCTGCACTGCCAGAACTGAGGGCTTTCTTGGGTTTGTTCACAACTGGAGCAACAAGGTTTGGTGCTACTGTCTCCTGGCCTTGTCGAGCAGCAACAGGATCATACTCCTTCCCATCATAGTTTGCATCAAAAAATTTTTTGAACCACTGAACAAATTCGAAGTTGTCCTGAAATTTTCCTTTCACTAGTTTGTCCACAGGAATTATCTGGAGAAAAAAAAAAAAAAAAGTAAAAATTTGTTTTAATAGTAAAGAATCTTTCCCTCTAGCTGTAACAAGCGTAAGAGTGCACTCAGGAGATACAAAGAATTGCATTTGTGTCTTTTCTAAAGAAATCCTCCATAAGTGCATCTCAGATAGCAAGATCTTCCTAACAATTAGAATTAAAATACAAGCAATGCTTCATTGTGAGTGCCCAACTAATTTTAAGTATTCCTGCAAGACCTTTTCTGCTGTACCAAGTTTCAACACCCAACTTCTTCCTGCAGTTTTTAAACCAACTCATCCAGCACTGGTTTTTATGAATCTGAACTGCTGAGTAATTTTTATAGACTAGTAACATAAAGAACTGCTATAAAATGTAAATGTCACCTTTTTGTAGGCTCCAATTACACACTTCATTCTAGAGATGCTGAAAAAGAAGATTAAGAGGACACAGCAAATTGAGACTTCTTGCCTGTTGGCCACCAGCTGACAGTCTAAGAAGCCTGGCAGGGCAGTCAGCACCAGGACAGATGCAGGGCTCATTAAACATCTGCTTGTAGCAGCCACAACATGAGGCACCTTCTAATAAATATAGAACTGTGTTTTAACACCAAGCTGCCTAGTGTTGATCAAATAGGCTGCCAGAAACGATTACCTAGATAAATCACCCTTCCACGAACATGATTGAACCTGAACAAGTATTTGCAGAGATCTCATTTTCATCATCTTAAAATTAAATCACCTTGTAAAGAAGAACTTGAAGTCATTAAGAACACCATACCAACAGATTATGGGGTCATACCTGGGACAAAGCTGGTTCAAACACAAGGCTTAAAGACGATTTATCTCAGATTATTTTCTACATTAACCTGTATCTTAAGATTTTTTTTTTCCATTTTAATTCTATGTAAGAACTGGAGGCCTAACCTTAGCTGGAGTAAAGCAGATACTGTCCCAAGCCAACAGGAGTAAGA